TGTATTAGTCAGGGTATCCCGTTGAGTCTTTCTGCCAAGTTAAAGCTTAGAAAATTTTACTATTCAATTTTTTGCGCCGGGGTTCGCCCCATCCACCCCATTATGTGAAAAACTTTTTTTTGTCTTTGATGCTGATTTCTGATAGTCATTCCGATACAACTCATTGTGCTGATCACGTATATCATAGCTTTATCCAAGTTTGATCGAACAATAAAAAACAAATGAAGACCTCTCTGGTCTGAATGCTTATATGGCTCAATCACAGCCGTAAAAATCGTTCCTAACCTTAAATATCTTTCAAATAGAAAACAATGACAGATTTTCTGATCCAAAAACACTCTTTCAGGGGTCTCAGTTACTTTGTAAATGAGAAAACGAGTTCTATCTTGTGTTTTGCAATTGAATGCATGGGTGTTTTTGAGACTAAATCAATGGTTTTTGAGCAGCAGATCTGCCTTCTGAGTGCTCTAGAGATACCTGGTCTCCTTTCTTTCCTGATAAAAGTATGTTTGTTAGAAAGAGCCGATGATATTATGTATTCACTTTAGGTTTCGAAGTGGATGGAACCGCTTTTATGAAACTACCCTATATGAACTCTTGATAAACTCTTATATATAACAGAAAATTGGGCCTGGAAACATTCTGTTATCAAAAGAATACAAGTAATATGCTTGAAAATTCTTCCAGATCTAGATAGACGACGAAAAATTGAGTTATACCGAAGTCACTTCAACACTCTAAAGAGAACTTTAGAAAGGCATATGAGTCACACAACATTATTTCCTAGTGAAAACCTAATGCCACCGAAATAGGGAAAGTACTTGATAGTTTTCTTATTACTCGAGCCAAACTTGATAAAAATATGATATTCGTGATCATCGCAAAGAGTTCTATCGAATAACTATATGAAACCAGAATCAAAGGCAAAAAATTATGTTCGATTCCAGGAGGAGGGGAACCCAGGCACAGAAGAATTGAAAAGTTTTGACTTGGCAAAAAGGCTCAAGTGAATACTCTGAGTAATATATAAATGAAATCTGAAACAAATCGTGAAATGATAAAAAGTGAAACCGTCACCATTCCTATGTTGTCACCGCTAATTTAGACTTAAAAATATGAGTTTCTCGGTGCTTGATCAACTGAATCGAAAATTTGCATACCGGAAAAACCAAACACAAGCTAGAATGTCCTTTAAGAAATGTCTTCAACTTTTTGTCTTCGTTAAAAAAGCATCCTCGACTTTTCGTCCTTGAAGAAACATCCTTGAGAAATGGCCCATCATACTCAATTGTTGGTTTTTAAAATAACGGTACTGGAACGTATATGAGACTGTAATCCAAACATACTCCGGTAGATATTTAAGCTGTTTATATGGAAGATTTATCTTTATATGGAGTGGATCGAGTAAAAAGGAAAGAACTTCAATAAACTCAAATTAGTTGTGTATATACCGTTTTTCACAAATAATCAAAGCTAAATATTTTTAAAGACCATCGCAAGGCATAATGATGATGGAGGAGACGCAAATGAGAAAGTAGATTTTGGCATCCAAAATCTTTCAAAATCTTAAAATCTTTTGAAATCTTTTGAAATCTTAAAATCTTAAAATCTGCTTTTTCCCTCTTGCATATATCTCTGTGAGTTCCATGTATTGTAAAATTTTCAAGTGAAAATAATGATCCTTCAGGTTTTTATGTATCACTCAACTTTGGGGAAAATCGACATTTTAGGCAAATCTTGTGCTTCATAACTCGTAATTAGAGCAACTTGGAATTCTGAAATTTCTGATACGCATATGCCTCTATAAACTCTACCATTAATGCAAATTTCAGAACGCCAAGTTATTCTAATCACGAGTTATGAAGCACAAGATTTGCCTAAAATGTCGATTTTTCCCAAAGTTAAGTGATTCATAAAAAGCTGAAGGATTACTATTTTCACTTGAAAATTTAACAATACGTAGAACCAAGGGGAAAACAGCAGACTTCAGGACTCCGGAGCTTCGCGGGACTGCAAATAATTCTGGAGTCCTGGAGTCCTCAAAAATAGAATATTAAATTTTTTCTTCTCCATGTATTACAAGTTGAGTACTCATTAATAAACTGAGTACTAAGTGGAGTACTCACCGAATTAACTCTAATTAAGGTGAGTACTAAGTTGAGCTCAACTAAGTACTCAACTAATTAATGAGTACTCAACTTGTAATACATGGAGAAGAAAATATGTAATATTCTATTTTTTAGGACTCCACGGGATTGGAGTCTGGTGTTTCCCCCTTGATTGATATAGGTTTATTGAGTTTGCATTGAGCTGCGTACGAAATTTCGACTACGAAACTATTTTTGAAATCAAGGGAAAAGGTATTGTACGAAGGCTTATTTTGACGAAAGTTAAAAATGGTTTTGATTGAGTTGCAAATTTTGGGACCTTTTTTAAGCCCCGTATGGTACCTTTTTTCTCAGTGTACTTCTTGACAATTCCATTCACCTTGAACTAAGCCAGTCCTGACTTACAATTATTTGTTGACATATATTGTGAGTATTGTTAATAAGGCGTCTACGGAGCGCACTTCGAGGAATAGCACACAAAATATTTATCAACAAATAATTGCAAGTCAAGACTAGAAAATTCAGGATGACTGGAAGTGTCAAGGACCACCGGAATACATAATTATTTTTCTAAATATATGTTCTAGTTTCTATCATCAAGTTTAGAAAAATCCTAGAAGATAGCTAAACTGCATATTATTAGAGTATGAAACTTAAGGTCTATCAAAATATCTGAAGTTTCTGTCAACAAATGATTGGAATTCCAGGTCTTGTAGAATACAAGGTCATAGGGACCTTCAAACGCTATCAGAATATATAATTATTTTTCTAAATACATGCCATTGCATTACATTCCGAAAAAGTAAAAAAGCTGCGACAGAAACAAGTTAGAAAACTCCATTTCGTTGGAATATGAGGATGAGGATGCATTAACAATCTTTAAAATATTTTCCATCAAATTATTGAAAGGCAAAGATTCTTAAGTACATAGTATATATATAGATGCAAATGAGATAGATCCGTTGATAGATAATATCATGAATCTGTAAGAACCTACAGTGTTTATTATGGGTGGACAGAAGATTATTTTAAGTGATACTAAAAATAGCTTCTTCAGTATATTTCTGATAACACAAAAATAAATTTATTTATAATTTTAAAGAAATTTCATATAAACTATTTATGAAAACTTGTAGAATATTTTTAACTTACTTGATATGAATTTCTGCCTGTATTTCTTCAGTATTAAGAAGTACTTTAAGAAGAAGTTGGCATATGATCTAAAAGCTGTTCCATTCGACTACTTTTTAAAAGTCTTCATAGCGTCTTAGGAGCACACCTACTCTTTGATATTTTCTGAAAATCGGATTTAAAAAAACGCTATCATTCTGCAGATTTCATTTTCTTTTGAATCAGACAAAATCGTCATAATAGGTGCGTAAGAATATTCAGAAGTTAATGGTTGATGAATCGAAATCGTTTAGACGTTTTCCAAGATTTTAAAATGTTCAAAATCGGAAAACGTAAAAGCCAATCTCAAAAATCCTATTGCCAGAAAAATGAAATAATAATGTCTATGAACACCTCACGTTACGTACAAAGACCTGTGTACATGAATTGTAAGCAACGCAAAGAAAAATAATTCGAGTAATCAGATAATTTCCCTGAACAGAAAAAGAACTTTAGTAAATGTATGAAAGATTAAATCGGAAAATGAATGAAAATATGCATAATAGAAAATGTAAAAGAAAATTTTCCCTCACTTTTCTTCCTGTATCATGTTTTAATACAGCTGAGAGCGGCTGCAGGTGTGAGGATGGATAAAAGTATCAAATGTTTCTGGTCATTAATATACTGGCACTGTCAAATTTTCACGGTGGAGAAAACGTTGGTGAAGAGTGTAACGAAATTTTTCTTTTTTATTTAGTTTTTGTCAGAGATAATGCTACCATCTAAGAAGAAAATTCCTGTTGTGGGCTCTTGAAATAATTGCAACACAGGAAAACTTCAAGTTTTATGCCTGTCTAGCAATGAAAAGTATGAAAAAGAGTAATTTTATTCTCCTTGTGAGATAATATTGTTATCTCAAATGATAATAATACTCATTTTTATAGAAAATTTAATTATCATTTGTAACTCACACTTATTTGATCCATGGATTACAGATGATGTAGATGATGAATATCATCATACTCATTTTAATATTTTAATACGACAAAGATGTTGTAAAAAGATTTTTACTGTGCCATTGATGACTTTCAATTTATTCCTATTCTGATCGATATTTAATAAAAAAAAACCACTTTTGAATGATGAAAAAATTGTCTGAATATACAGCAAGAGTCACAGTCTCTGCATCATGTGTAATAGAATCTTAAACATAATTCTTTTCTCTTTTCTTTTGAAATTTCAAGAGAAAAAAAGTAGAACATCGAAGAGTAATCTGTATCATGAAAAAAGTTTTTATTTATCCATAGATTACATTTAAATATATTCTAACGTTATATAACAAGCTATTTATTTTTCTCAGAAAAGACTATGAAAAAAAAATATTATTAACGAATTCTATGTTTTATGAGAAAATCCACTGCTCGACGGACAGAATGATGCAAGAATGTACTATTAAAAATATCTCAACTAGAAAAATGCATTCATATAGGATGATACCATGCTTCATTTTTAGGACACTCGATTAAAATGATAACGAAAAAGACAACAAATATCTATTAATATGGACGTTATAAAGACTAACAATTTTATATCGTTCTAAAATCATCATGATTCAAGTCTTAGTGCAACTTACGAGGGAAGATCCGCAAGTGTGAGTCTCAGCTTTGAATGGGATATATACCAGCTTGTGAAGCTCGACGAGCTGATTCTCGTGGTATGTTCCGTTTTCCCCATAGAACTTTAGATAAGAAAAATTGATCAACTTACTAGTGAGTTCGTTCAATGTGGATGAGTTTCGAGACAGTTGTTAAAAATTTGGGACTTCAAAGGTACTTAAAGTTTGAATGGTAATGTCAAAACAGACAATATCGCCTTCGACAGTTTATTTTTATATTGTTTCAAAAGCATAGGAAAACTGTATTTCCTTGTAAAACTCAATTCCACAATCGCTATTAACATTAATTGTAAAGTTATTACACTTTGAGATATTTTAGCGGTCCTGAGAGAAAACTTTGTTATGTATACAGAAGTTGAAGCTTAACTTGGGCTTAAAATAATATCAAAATAGACTATCGAATGCGGCGCTGTCTATGTTTTAACATTACCATTCACACTTTAAATACCCTTGAAGCCCCAAATTTTTAACAACTGTCTCGAAACCTACCCACATTGAAGAAATTCACTAGTAAATTGATCAATTTTTCTTATTTAATGTTCTATGCGGAAAAACGGAACATACCACAAGAATCAACCCATCAAGCTCCACAAACTGGTATATATCTCATTCAAAACTGAGATTCACACTTGGGGACCTTGCCTCGTTAGAAAAGAGAAACAATCTACGTCATTGCTTCTAATAACTAACAGATAATTTAGAAGACTCTATACCTTAAGTTACATATCTATAATGGCTAGAGTTCTCTAGAGTAATTCGAGTCAAAAATTAAAAATGTAATTAGTTTTTTGTGCGTATTCATGTATTCTACATTATAACAAGGTTATTTTTGCATTACAACTAGTACCCGTTTCAAAAAAGAAAAAGTAAGTATTTTTTGAATAACTTTTGATTATAACTAGAGAGAGAGAGCTCCGATTTCCCCGTTTAAAAGAGGAGATGCAACTGCATCGAATCACGCATATCAGTTTTTTTTGACAAGTTTTCTCAGAGCCTACCATTGTGCCAATAGTCTATAGTCTCAAATATTCAGAAAAATCACGTATCACTTTTTGATACGGGCACATACACCCTTTCTTGTTCATATATTTGCGTTTCCTCATCGTCGAATTTCTTCTTGTTCTTAAGAATGATAATTAGAGTAGTCAGCTAGCGCGCTTAATGATTACGACAGTGTTAAAAGTATTATCTTGAGGTTATGTCACACTAAACAAGAATACCATTCAGATACTATCAAGACGTCATCAGATCGAGTATCAAAGGGATTAACCACATAAGTTCATACCAATCAACAAAGTAATCCATATATATATATATATATATATCGGTGAAGGTCAGTCTCTAAATGGCTCGTACTTTCCTTTTTCGTAATAAACGGAAATAGAAAATGAAATGGAGAGAGAGAAAAGAGCCAGAATATAAAACGACCGGAGAAGAAGAAAATCAGAAGAAGCGAGTTGGGGTAGAAGAAAGTAGAGGCTATCTTAGAATATAAAAGAGAAGAGTTACGTCGTAAAAGAGATTAAGCAGAAGATATCAACGGTTACAGTAGAAATATTATAGTCCAAATACTTTTATTATTGTGCACGTTTCAATATCGTATTTATTACGTTTATATCGTTGTATTTTCATTGTGTGTTCATACTGTTATTCAAATAAACATCGGTGAATCCGTAACGTTATATTTCAATTCATTATTTTCTCTACGACTCAATACTCAAATAAAATATTTCGTTACAATGAGACGTGAATTTACCATAGGCAGATTCAACGCAAGTCAACAAATGCAAGCTGGGTTGGCGAAGATGAATCACCAACTACTATTGTTCGTCGAGGTAAATTTGAGCCAAAAAATTTATTTTTTATTTTCTTTAAATCAAATGGTCCTGTTTTTATGCATGCTGTTGATGAAGGCAAGACTATAGATCACAACTATTATATTGAAAATTGCCTCAAGCCTGTCGTGAAGGAAATATGGAAACAAAGAAAGTCAGCAGGTACAAAAGGTATAAAATTGCCCCAAGACAATGCTCGACCCCATATTCATTCCGATGTTATTAATTATTTAACAGAAGAAGGTATTATTACAATGTCGCATCCACCATATTCACCTGACCTTGCACCATGTGATTATTGACTAAATGATTACATCAAACGTAATTTAACTGATCAACCAGATGAAAAATCATTGGCTCGTGCGGTATCCAAGGTGATGAAAAAAATTCCGAAAGAAGAATTTAAAAAAACTTTTGACAAACTATTAGAAAGGATGGCACTTTGTATAAATAATCATGGTGACTATTTTGAACATTTAATAAAATAAAACTCGAACTTTCTCTTTGTCTTTATATTTTTTTAATAATCTGGGAACTTTTGGTCACACCTAAGTAGCTTCGACCAGTATACCTATAACTTCTGAATGATCAATTCTAAACATCTAAATCTTGTGCAGATGTTTTGACCTCCCATTACCGTTTTAAATATACACGCAACAATTAAGAATTGACTGTAAACACTTAATGACGTAGATTTGCTTTCCAAGAAAGTCTATTGAAAAACTTAAATAATTCATATGAAAAAATCTGCAATATACGATTTGATGCATCTTCATATCTTGTTTTGAACGATGAAAATCGCAGCTCTCTAGCTATTTCTGTCCTTGAGCTATTGCAAAAATACCCATGGCCATTATTTTCTTTTAAGCAGGCTCAAGTTTGACACAAAAACAGTTCTTCTCGAAATTTTATTACTAGGATATTAGTTGAAGTATGATCAAATCACCTAGAAAAATAGAGCATCGTTTTCTCTATTACTACATAGGAAAAGAAAGTTTCTTTAAGCTTCTTATATAAAAATAAGATAATGGCGCCCCTACTTTTGGTATGCCCTAAACATTTTATCAGCGGCTCCTCTCGAACCACTGCGCTGAATGAAATGCTAATCAATGCCGGTCTGAATGTAGTAGAGTCCTTTGTTTTATGGAAATAAAACAAGCTTTAAGAATTCATTTTCGTTATTTTGTTATGTATGATAATGAGTCATACATTATGGTTTACACATATGAAACATAATTTAACAAAGCTTGCTTTTACAAAGATCATATTAAAAGAAATATTAAATTAACAGAAAGGAACATAAAAAATACAAAATAATGATTGAATAGGAAAAACGCAAACAAATACACGTAAAATATCTGGGGTACATATTTGAGTTTTTTTAGGACCGATTCGCCCAAGCAAATGTTCCAAAACCGCTATTCTAAGTTCCAAGTACAACTAGATGAGCGGCATCGAATGGTGAAGACCTTTCCTTAATACATGTTATAGTAACCCCAAAAATACCAAAATAGTCATTTTTTCTTCCATTACACGAACTTCAAACAACAGTAATTTTTGGATCGATTCGGCTCACAGACTGTTCCAACAAATCTAATTAATGATACAGATGCAACTCAACGAACTCTGCTTAACGGTGAAAATCATAAATCGATACATCGCACCATTCTCGAGATAATGCATATACACTGGCGAAATTCGCCTTTCGGACCGATATTTTCTGGGCCGTTTCGCTCCACAGAATGTTTCAACAAAACCAACGAGTGTTCCAAGTGCTATTTATGCCCTCTATCGAATGATGAAAAGCGCACATCTGTATTATGCTGCGTTCCCTGGATATAATCATCCCGTCGATCGGAATATCCATTTGGGGTCTGATTAGTTGGCTCGATTCGCTCAACAGAATGTTCCAACAACTCTGAAGACTGTTTCTAGTACCACTGTGTGAGATCTATCAAATAATGAAAACTGCATACCGATTGAACGCTCTATTCTCAAGATAAGACCGAATCGGACAGCAAATATCTCACCGAGTGAGCTTTTCGGCAGGTGATTTGGCCATATCTTGGGAGTGGAGCGTTAGGTCGAAATACGTTTTTCACCATTCGATAGTGCTCGCACAATGGCACTAGAAACAGTCTTTAGAGTTGTTGAAACATTCTGTGTAGCAAAATAGTCCAGAAAGTATGAATTTTTATTGTAGATGTCGCCACAGGGAGCAGGTACTCCATTGTGAGAAGGATAGCTCAGTAAAGGAGCACACTATCGAGATGCGATTCTCACCATTGGATAGAGCGTGCAAAATAGCACTTCGAGCATAGAGTAATTTTGTTAGAACATATACGTGGATGAATCGGTCCAGGACATATCGATTGGCAAGGCGGATTTTATCGGTGCATGAGCAGTTTCTCCAGTATGATACAATGTATCGAGTTGCATATTTCACAATTGGATACAGCTTGTTGAGTTGCACTTGGAACATGAATTACATTTCTTGAAACATTTTGTAAGCCGCATCGACTCAAAAATTACTTTTGTTTGAAGTTCGTGCAATGGAAGAACAAATTGTAATTTTGATTTTTCTGGGTTGCTATTACATATATTGAGGAGCGGTTTTTACCATTCTATTTAGCTATCGAGTTGCACTTGACACTTAAGTTAGCGACTTTGGAACATTTGCCTGGGTGAGTCGGTCCTAAAAGAACTCGAATTTGGATCTCAGATATCCTATGTACAAATAATGGGGCGCCTAGAAAAAATAAACAGTTTCTGTTCAGAATGCAAAAATTAGAAAGGTTCTTACTCTGATATTTGACTATCCTACAAAGAAACTGTAGTGTAGAACAAATTTTTCACTTTGTGTATTTCATATTAGTTCAATGAGGCTAGAAAACATATGTGAGTTCCACATTTCATTCCCAAAGCGGCTGTGCCAACACACTTGTTATCATAAGTTGGTTGATGTCCGTTGTCATTGAAGTGAGGAAATTGTGAAGTAAACGCAATCTGTTTCTACGCGTAATAGTTCCCAATATAGGTGTTGAGATCAATGATTGAGTGAACATTCTTTTTTCTTTAAGCTCATCAGTGAGCAATGATTCGCTTTGTATTTTGTAGGCTCGCAGTCATACATCATTTCTGAGTATTCTTTGAACACTGGTTCGAGAAATACCCAACTCACGAGCTGCTTTTCGTGATGAGACAGGTTTCCGTCGTTCCAGTCAATGATTGATAGAGCCGATATCGTGTACGGCTTGGCACCACCGTTCAATTGTCCGGAGACTAATGAAACCGTTAAGATCTCGAAAAATTTTCTCGGTACATCACCATTTTGATACTTTGAAAGTACCAGATTTTGAAAGTCTTTACTTTTCATAGCTACAAATAAAATCAGTGTAATTGAATTCAGGAAAAAAATATCCTGTTTTGTAGAGAATCGAAAGACGATTCGTTTAAAAAAATTTAGACTGAACCAATGAAAGTCGACGAAAATATTCAACAAATACAGAAACCGTCATTTAATATGGGCCACCCGTTAAAAGACTGTTGGAATAATATCATTACTAAGTGGAGGGGGATACTTCAGTAAACAATAATAATAGCGACTCTTTTAGAGATCTCAATAGAGAAGTCGTGACATAAAAGGGGCAACCCATAACTAAATAAACACTAGTGTTTTGATAAGTAAAGAGTTTCTAATGAGGAAAATATTTCGAGATGAAAGGAAAATTTCATGAGGGTGTGTAAGATTTGATTCAATAACTTAAGCAGATATCTGGCGCTTTGGAATTTGATTTTGTCAGACATTGTCTATTATTCATTTTAAAATGTCAAATATTTATAATGTGTCTATATGATTTTAGAATTATAAATGCAATGACGGATTCCATACTAACCAATAATAATGTCTCATGGTAGATGACCTAGCATGTATCATAAACGATGACAGAATGCAGTGAGATAAATATATATATATTGTACCTGACGTATTCCATAATATCTATAGGTGTATCACGTACATATATATACGACCACGGTCGTCGAAAGGCTTAAGAGCATAAAAGGTGTCCAATGCTGATTTCTTACTGATATATAATTCATTTTTTTACAATAATTAGTGTTAGCATCATTCATCAACGCCAGACTGTACCTTGTCTATTCCTGTTAGTTGTATAGTGTTTTATTCCGTATATGTTGATGTCAACTGTGAGTTATAAATGAAGAACAGTTCGACAAAATCTTAGAGCTGTAATGCGTCTACGAATGCACCACTTGTTTTGACGCTAAAGACCAGTGTCGTTCTTGGCTGCTCTTATGAATCATACGCTGAGTTTTACATGAGGTTCTAGACCATAAAGAGCACTTCCTCAATTTTTAGAAGAATGTGCTTGAGAAGAACAGGATGATAGAGAACGCAAGATTTTTCCTAGAGATACATTTTGACTCTTGTCGGACTTTTTCAAAATGGCCTCCACTCTTTTTTTAATAACTTTCGAATGCTAAGACCTATCGAGCTCGAAGTTTCGCCATGCGATAGAGCAACCTACGGAACGTCCACCTAAATACGGCTCATTGAGGTGAAAAAGATCTTCTTCCATGGTTTCCTACCAACTAACATATGTCTCCAAGTGGTAATCTCACAGTTATCATGCCAATCAATGCTCAAATTAGGCCAGACTGTAGCAGACCGTATTCTCTAAATACCACCCATACCTTCGAAATTGCTAAGAAAATGCCGATTAAATGCGAGATCTTGAAACTATCATTGTCCACTGAAAAATGATTAATAGCTGACTTTTTCGACAATTTTCGCAATTTCTGGGATAAATCATGATTTTTCGCTCGATTATTATCCTTTAGTTGCACAATTATATGCATGATTTGAGGCATTTAATCTGAATTTTTTAGACATATTTGACAACTTTTCTTGCTAATTCTAAATGATCAAATACTTTATTGCAGAACTAGAACGCGTACACTCTAAAAAAAATCGGTTTTTTACCGAACGCCCTAAAAAGGTTCCGGAGATGTCTAAAAGCGTCCAAAGACGTCCAAAGTCTCAAAAAAAGGATAAAAAAATCTACGAAACCTTTAAAGGTTCTTACCGTGTACCCAGGATAAGAACCTTTTCCTGCGGAACCTTTATTTAAGTTCCGTGGAGCAGAAAAAGGTTTCGTAGGAAAATACGAAACCTTTAGAGTTTCGTACTAAACTCTACGAAATCATGAGGGTTTAGTACGAAACTATTAGGGTTTAATACGAAACTCTAAAGGTTTCGTATTTTCCTACGAAACCTTTTTCT